CAAGTTTTATACTTATATCAATAATCGAACAAACATATATGGATTAGTAGAAGTGTGACGCATGGCGATAAAATTAATACCATTTACAAAATAAATTGTATGAATTGTAACAGGCATTACATCGGCCAAAGTGGTCGTCCCCCTCGATTTAGAATCCAAGAACACAAATCAGCAGTGAAAAGACACGACATATGTTCTCTAGTGTCGATGCATGTAGACAATTATGGACATCAATTTGATTGGGAAAATGTTGGAATCTTAGACCGAGGAAAGACCAAAAGTGCAGTCAGGGAATTCCCAGAAGCCTGGTAGTCAAACGAATATGCAATTAACAAACACGTTAATATGGAGGAACTATATCAACTAATAAAAAGTAAACCAGATGACCAGAAAGTTTAAAATCCAAGTCAATAGAAAATAGTCAATACATATGTAAAGATGGTTACCGGTAGACACAATTATATCACTCATGAAGAAACATTTAAATCATTTCAATTTATGCTAAGTACTGCGCTGAAGATGTTGTCTAGAAGGACGACGAAAGCTCTACAACTAAACCAACCAGCTCAGAGAACACTATTAATTGCAGATGTGGCTTTTTTAAATTTCGACAATTATTAAAGAGGCTTAAGTATCGAAAAAAACTTAACAGATATTTATAACCCTTATGTGGAAAGTCTTCGTTAAATCTCATGCAAAAATTTCGCTGCGCAGTAAACTCTTGAATTTCCGGTCACCAAACGAAAGTGTTACTTTTCAATTAGTAAGTTGGAATCTAAATTCTGTCAGTAGAGGGCTATCATTATCATTATCCTCTTAGGTTCCGAGTGGAATATACAGCTGCAACAACACATCTCCACTTTCTTATATTTTCCTATCTCTTCCCCACCCGGGTCCCCAATTGGCCATAATCTCTCATCTGCTCTTTGCTACACGATCTCCTCTGTGTCAGCCTCTCGCTTACCCACCACGCGTTGTCTCTTCCCATTTAAATTCCACTCGACTGATTACCTGCCACCTGATTTCATTTGATGGCTTCCTCAACGTATGCCTGATCTATCTGCACTTTCCTCTGCATATTTGTTGAGCAATCGGCTCTTGGTCAGTTTGTTGTTAGATTTTCTTATTGCTAATTCTTTCTGGCCTGCTGGCTGGCCATTTGATATTCAGTGTGGAGCCAGTGAAGCCGTCAGCTGTTGACAAACATACTCTGTACCCTGTTAGATATCCTTTTCGTGACACGCACTGCATGTTTCTAACCTCGCCAGATACTAGCTTGCTAGGCTACTAGCTTACTAGTTTTCTAGCCGGTCCCAAGCCCGGGTAAAAAGGGAGGGTTGGGGCGTGGTGCTAGCAACTCCACCCCTGTAAAACAACCAAATCGCTACAGAAACTTCAACGAATAAATATATTAAAAATTCTAAAAACATAAGCAATAGCCTTACTTTTCGCTGGAATCGGGGAAGTGAAATGACGCAGGCTGGTGAAAGCCTTCGGGAAGCCAGTCAGCCGATGTGCCTTCTTTCGATGAAAGCAAAAGTAAGGATGGGTACCTGGAATGTTCGCACAATGTACGAAACTGGAAAGGCTGCCCAGATAGCCGCTGAAATGAGAAGGTACAGAATAGAAGTGTTGGGAATCTGCGAAAGCAGATGGAACGGAACTGGAAGGTGCCAACTACCTACTGGAGAGACAGTAATCTTTTCCGGCCACCCAGAGGACAACCATGAGCACACCGAGGGAGTGGCCATCATGATGTCACCAACAGCAACCAAAGCTCTCATGCAGTGGGAACCAATCTCCTCCAGGATAATGACAGCCAGGTTCAACTCAAAAGGAAGGAAAGTTACAGTCATTCAATGCTATGCGCCTACAAACGTCTCAGAACAAGAGAAGAAGGAGGCGTTCTACAGACAACTACAAGCAATAATGGACAACGTCCCAAATGGCGATATCAAAATCCTGATGGGCGACATGAATGCGAAGCTGGGGCGAGACAACACAGGAAGAGAACTCACCATGGGTCGTGAGGCCCTCGGTGAAATGAACGACAATGGTGAACTCTTCTCAGACTTCTGCGCCTTCAATGATTTGGTGATTGGCGGTAGTGTGTTCAAACACAAGGATATACACAAGACGACATGGATTTCACCAGATGGAAACACCAAGAGCCAAATAGACTTCATCTCAATTTCAAGAAAGTGGAGACGGAGCCTACTGGACACAAGGTCAAGGAGAGGAGCAGATGTGGGTTCAGACCACTATCTAGTAGAAGGGACTTTCAAGGTGAAACTAAAAGCCTCGAGGATAGCTGGGGATAGGCCACAATGCAAGTTCAACACTCAATTACTGAAGGACACAACCACAAAAGACACCTTCACTGCAACTGTCAGAGCAAAGCAGGAAACACTACGCGACATCACTGAAGAATCATGCGTGGAAGAACATTGGAAGTCTCTGAAGGCGATTCTCAACGAAACGTGTTCAACGGTTCTAGGAAGAAAGAAGAGACAAGACAAGGAATGGCTCTCAACGGACACTTGGAAATTAATAGAAGAGAGGAGAATGGTGAAAGAGAAAATGATTCAATGCAAGGACGGACAGGAGAAGGAGACGATGAGCTCAACTTACAAAGCACTGGACAAAGAAGTGAAGAAGAGTGCTAGGAAGGACAAAAGACGATTCTACGACAATCTAGCTACTGAAGCTGAGAAGGCAGCAGGCAAAAGGGACCTGAGGACACTATATCAGATAACCAAATCTCTATCCGGGAAGAGACCAACACAAGCGAAACCTATAAAAGACAGCCAAGGGAACCCCATTACCAAGGAAGAAAAACAGATTAAACAATGGGCGGATCACTTCAAAGGACTCTTGAACCGACCATCACCTGCAACCCGTCCAGAAATACCAACAACAGCGCGCACACAACTGCAAGTTGACACCAATCCTCCAACGAGAGCTGAAGTCTTGAACGCAATCAAACTTCTGAAAGCTGGAAAAACAGCCGGACCAGATGGAATACCCCCTGAAGCACTGAAAGCAGACCCAGAGACGACAGCAGACATGCTGACTCCATTATTGCAAAAGGTCTGGAAGGAGGGAAAGGTGCCTACTGACTGGAGGAAAGGTTACCTCGTGAAACTACCAAAGAAGGGCGACTTAGGCCTACTCTGCAAGAACTGGCGAGGAATCATGCTCCTATCGACGCCAAGTAAAATCCTGAGTCGCATCATCCTGGAGAGATTAAAGGACGCACTGGAGACAGAACTCCGACCAGAACAAGCTGGATTCAGGAAAGGCAAATCATGTACTGACCAAATTGCAACTCTACGCATCATCATCACAGAACAAAGCATGGAATGGCAATCAAACCTCTACCTCAACTTTATAGACTTTGAGAAGGCCTTCGACAGCGTTGACCGTGAAGTAATTTGGAAATTACTCGAGTACTATGGCGTACCCCAAATATTCATCAACCTTATTCAACAGCTGTACGACAACGGCACATGTCAAGTGATCCACAACGGAAAACTCAGCGAGGCGTTTGGAGTAAACACAGGAGTCAGACAAGGGTGCTTACTATCACCAATGATATTCCTAATTGTGGTGGACTGGATTATGCGTCAGACAGTGGGAAACGAGAAGACAGGAATATCCTGGACCGACGTGAAGAACCTAGAAGACCTGGATTTCGCGCGTGGATGATTTATGTTTGATGTCACACACAATCGAAGACTTACAAGCGAAAACCGACAAACTGGTCGAAGAAGCAGCCGGCGAAGACAGGACTCCAGGTAAACATAGACAAGACGGAGGTTATGAAAATAACCAACCAACAACAACAGCAACAACATCCAACGTCAATCACCATCAACGGGAGGGATTTGAAAGAGGTTACTTCATTCACTTATCTAGGGAGCATTGTCTCAACTACAGGAGGAGCGGACGAGGATGTCAAATCGAGCGAGAATCGGGAAGGCGAGAAACACATTCATCAACCTGAAATCAATCTGGAAATCTTCGTCACTCAGCATCACCAACAAAATTCGGATTTTCAATACAAACGTCAAGTCAGTCAGTTCTTCTATACGGATCAGAAACTTGGCGGGGGTCACAAAGAATATTTCCAAAAGCTGTGCAGACCTTTATTAACAACTGTCTTCGCTCTATACTGAAGATCAGATGGCCGGAAAGAATCACCAACAAGGAATTATGGGAACAAACAAACCAAGAACCAATCGCCCAACAAATATGCAGGAGAAAGTGGAGATGGATCGGACACTCGCTGAGGAGACCGCTGGGTGACATCGCGCGTCAAGCCCTCGAGTGGAACCCGAAAGGGAAGCGGCGTGTGGGACGTCCAAGGGTGACATGGAGGAGATCGTGTGAAGAGGAGTTGAAAGAATATGGACTAACATGGATGCAGGCGAAAAGTACAGCAGAAGACAGAAGAAAATGGAGACGTGCAGTTGAAGCCCTATGTTCCACTAGGAATCCAAGGGAGCAATAATAATAATAAACTGCATGTTTCTGACACAGTTTCAGTGGTAGGCTACTGCTATCTGACTTAAGGGTGATTAAAAAGAGTTAAACCCTTATTTATCTCTCCTTCTGACTACCGGTTGTTACTGAGGGGATGTGATCCGCTATGGAAATGTTGAGAGGATATAACTGCCCTGTGTCATTTGAGGTGATCATTTGAAGTTATCCTGTTTTCCACAAAAGTAAAGGACTTCTTTAAACTCCACTCAATCATTTTACCATGCATTTGGTTCTTCTTCGAAAACAATATAATGTTGACGCAGATTGAAAGATTTTTAACAATAGGTAGTTGTTTAACTTTCAATTTCGAACGAATAAAAAAACTACAAGTATACACCCATCTCAAATTCAGTCAAAAAGAAAGTATTCGTTTCTTCGAACTAGGCTATCCTGATTTTAGGCTATGATCTACTCTGCATATAAAGGTTGTATAACTTAAAGGTTTGTGTATGAAAATGGTTGACAGCTGCCTGATCACTATAATTATTCATGCAATTAATTGTATTTTTCTGCTACATGGTGAATATGTTCGTGAATTCGAGCTGGTAGGTTGGAAAAAATGGCTCGTTTAACCGAAAACCTTTGAAATTTAGGAGCACGGAGCATTTGCAGACGATTATAATTTCTCAAAACGTCAAACCAAAGATATTCCGCTGAAGTTCACAGTTGAATATGGATCAAGTATCGAATACTCACCTTATTACTTGCAGTATAGGGTAAGTATCATCATGTGGGCTTAGTAGTTAAACTTCCTCATCAAGAAGCTACTGTTTGAATTTTTAGAGGTCACAACTGCAACAAGATGCAGTTGCAGTCTTGTACCATAACATTGTCTCCAGCTTAGACCAGAGGGCTAAATTTGCTCGCTGCACCTTCCTAGATTACACATCTGCTTTCGACTCAGTACCTAGAGACATTTTGTTAAACAAGCTTGCCTAAACTCAAACTGACTGTTGGGTTGTTAAATGGCTGAGTTCTTATTCCTCAGAATGCAAGCAGTACACTGTATTTCAGGGGAAGTCGTCCACTTCTTTGCTTACTGAGGCTGGTGTTCCTCAAGGCGCTGTCCTTTCTCCTTTTCTGTTTTCTTTCTTCTTGCATGATTTGCCTCACTCTGATGAAATGAACTTTGTTCAGTATGCCGATGATCTAACTATTTCAACGTCTGTTAACTCCCAGCTTGACTGTACCAAGATGAACAGCGTTCTATCAGGAATGAGCAAATGGTCTTCGTCTAACTACCCTAAACTAAATCCTTTCAAATGCCAGACTGTCGATTTCACTTTCCGATGTAAACGAAAGTTAAATGAAGCTGTTGGTTCCTGTGACCCTCGCAAAATTGATGATACTGATTTGGAAATCAAGTCTGAAGTTAAGTATCTTGCATTAATTCTTTCTTCCGACCTATCATGGTCTTCCATGTCTTAGCGATTCCTAAAAGAATATTCCGTCTGACTTTTTACATTAAGAAGTTTGAGGCACTCAGGCATAACTCAATCACTCCTCCTCTTACAGTTTGTCAACTCGCGTATTTTACCTATTCTTCTTTACTGTTCACCCTTGCTTATTCTTTCCTGGATTGCTTAAAAAAGACTATGTCATACTTCGTAGAACTCTAAACACTGTCAGCAGGACGAGTGGTATCCCATTGGTCCATATCGTTGACATTGTCATGGATAGGCACTTGATGTCATGTAACAAATTTGCTAAAGGAATTTTGTCAGAAGAATTTACGCACGTACATCTAAGTATAAAAATTCCACTATACCATATTTGACGTCACGTACTTTATGTGATGAAAATGGTGTCAGGCATGAACTAACTAACCAACCTTCTTTGCACCCTTACAGTACTAAACTTTATTGTTATTGTATTTCTTATATTTATAATCGTCTCAATTTTTTCTTTTTATTTATTTAATTATTTTTCATAAGTGTGAACATCGTTTTAGCTGTGTTACCACTGTTAATCTTGTATTTCCCCTCACTATACTACATCAACAGAACATTAGATTCAATACTCTATAGTAACATGGTAAAATTTTCAAACTGAATCGACAATACTGTTTGAAACAAACTCATTGTTATTATTATTATTGTCATTATTATTATTATATTTAATGATCTCAATTCGTGCTTCGAATATTTCTGACTTTATATTGTAGACGTGGACAAATTCCTCTGGTTACTTTTGTTTTAATTTTGAATTTTATTTATATTTTAAGTAAATCAGATGCAATATTGTGACAAATGCTGAGAATTCCATTCTGTATTATAAGTAGTGTATTTTGGAATAAAGTAAATTATTATTATTAACGATAAGAAAGATTAAATGGTATCGATTATCATAAGTTTATTAAAACTGGTGTCTGTTAGCTGTATACTCTAATATATCCCATATATTTCTTTGGTTATTCCTACATAATTCTGCATATATACTCTGTTATATAAAATAGAAAATAACATGACATCATAAGACACTCTAAAATTTCTTCAGTTCGTATTCCTCTGTAGCGCTAAAATTTATATATATTTTTTAAAAACGATTTCTGAATTCAACAAAATGGGTCAGTTAACATGTATGAAATTTTTGTTTAATGCTTTTAGCAAGAATTTTTAGAAAAGGCAGTTAAGTTTTGGGAGTCTGCACTGACAGTGAGAAAGGCAGCTGAGCGTCGAATCACCATACCACGGTAAATTTCGAGTATTCATTTTGTTCTGTAAACCACTTAATTTAAAACATTTTCTTACTGAAATGTCTATCTGTTGTGACACTCAAGCTTCAAATGAAATAGTTATCACCTTCCAGCTTCATTTCTATGCGAGTGTCAAAGTCTACCAACTGTTTTGAAGAGAGCTGTATGGTGTGTGAATAAATAGGCATCTTATCGGACACCTTACGCAGGACCTTTCCTTGTCCTCTAGAATAAGGTCCAGAAAAAACAACTACGAGCTCTCATTCCAATGATAGATGCCTTCAAATGGACAGAGAAATGTATTTCAAGACAATTTATCGTATTCTACTGAACCTTTCCAAGTTAAATCCCGTATGTTTGGGTATGAGATTTTGCTGAAAGCCCATAGGATGTACGCAGGCGAAGAGAATCCAAGAATCAAAACAAGCTCGTATTATCTGGCAAATATATTCGATCTTTGATTGGACACTATCAACTAGTCATTTCTTTGGTGCAGACTGAATTCTATCAGTCAGGTTTGTAATGTGACCAGCATTCTAGGTAGCTCGCCATCACGGTGCACATTGATTTGATGATATTAGATGGTTGAAGGCAATCGGCAGGAGTAGGACATACTGATAGAATTAAGTCTGCAACGAAGAAAGTACTCGACACATCACACTAGTTGCTAGTGTCAATCAAGATATCTACTGCAGTCCTACAGGAGGTCAATCACGAGCCCGAATACCTCAGTGGTAACGTCTCTGACTGCAGCACTGGCTGAAATGAGTTCAAACCTCAGAAGAGATATGAGTTCCTTCAAGATTATAGATATACCTTGCTAATTGGTGAATGCAAACAAGCACTTAACCTAAGTCAAGCAAGGCTTACTGCCGATTGCCTCCAACCATCTGATGTCATATTCGGTCTTTCTTTATTCAAACTAATAAAAAGAACCAGCTTTTGAAAAGGCAACCAATAATCCTATAAGATTATGAATTTATTTCATTGTCACGGTCATTCTTCTTCCATTACTCTTATCACCAGAAGCCTCAGATGCTTCTAATTTTGTTATCATTAAAATTTCACTTCGTTATTAATAACCCTGTCATAGCTATCAAGTATCACTTTATGACCTGTAAATTTTAATAACGTTTCTATGTGTTTAGAGTTTAGTAGATAGGGTAAATCTAGTGGAAGATCTGATTGAAAGTTGTTAACTTATAATAGCTGGATTATAGACTGTGATTCTTTGATTATGTATTGATATTAGTTCGGCAGCGGGAGTTAACTGGTTCGAGACCTAATTTCCTTACAAATATCGCTTTATCACCCTGCAATTATTCTACTACATTCAATTAAATAGATGCAAACGGCATGAGAGTAATAAGATGAAATCATTCGCCTTGTTGGGTTTTTATCAGCCCCACATAACCCGTAAATTTTTTATGTAGCCTATACCCAAACGAATTCTTTTAAATTACCTCCAATAGAAAGTTTATATGAGGTTAGAATGTTTTCAAAACATTACTAATGTTGTACAGGATAAATGAATCATTTTTTTACAGTATACATGTAAAATTTCAGAATGAACAGCTACATTACCAACTTCTGAAATGAACCTCTCTTTTCTATCTCTTTAATAGGTACTGTGAAGAGGGTGTATATTACACCCAACCAGAAACGAATAAAATATTTTGTGCAGGAAGATGTCGACAAGATGTATACTGTGGACCAGCCAAAGTGCCTGATAAATATTTAAAGGTAAGAAATATATATATATATCTTTCATCAAAACAACGTTAAGAAATATGAAACACCTTCCGGTACCGTTAGAGGGAAAACACTGTCATTCCGCTGGAACATTCAATTAACTTTCTCGATGCATAAAAACGATAACTCTAATTGCTTGAAGATATGTTGAAACCGCTTACGTTTCACTGTTACATTTCTGTTCATTACCTATTAAATTTAGGTTGTATTACATATCCTTGTATACAATCAAAGCAGCAGCGCAAGGTAGTATTAGTTATTATATAATAATTAAAGTCGCTTATTAGATATAATAAGCCTTCAGGTTTCTTCAGCTTATCATATTTCTCTGAAAGATTTACACGTTACATGGGCACACGATAAATACACCTAACTCTTATGAATCCATCCAATGAGATCCCTAGGACTCCTTCAAAACAAACATTACTTTGAAGATACTCGTGATTATTGTGTTTAGGGAAAAAACACATTTAGTGGCTAATTTCATGATAACTTAGGTTATGGTACTACTAAAATGCGCGAAAAAAGTACGGTTAATACAAAGATGCATATCGCTATCACATGAAACGCACAGATACAACTCAACATGGCATGAAGTCCACTAGGCAAGCTGCAGTTTCGACATCTATTCACGGCCGATGCACTTCTAAATATCGCTTAACTGATAGTAATTTTGTAAATGAAGCAAGACTTAGAGTGAGGCTAATATACCCGACCTGTAAACAAAACGCCACTGCTATAAACTCTTCAAAGCTTGAAGCGCTACGCTCGACTCGAAACTCAAGGAATGAAGTTTAAGCATATTATGGTGATTTCGCATATTTCCAGTGAAATTTAATTCCATCTACCGTTGCATCAGTCAGTTTTAGTGGTGATTGTAGAAATTTGATTGGTTTGACGTTTAGGCACGGATTAATAGTAGTTAAAGAATCGTCGAAAACAGAGAGTGCTGAACAGCTGTTTCGTTATAATTTGGGATATTCCAGGATTAAGCACCCATAATCTCACTATGGGTCGAACCCAGGACCTTTACGTCTCGAGATGGGTTCGTTGACCATGCAGCTACTAGGATGAAATCCAATGGCTCATCAATTCTAACTTCTGCCGACTCATTTTTTTCACCGCCACCTCCAACCAACGTTGTCGTTAAGTATTTGTCCTCACACCTAACCTGGTAAACCCCACTAGTCACAACATCTTGCTAAAACTATAAAAAATTTCGTCTTGTAGTCAGTCACAAGTGAGCATATGACTAACTTTTAAATGTTACTTTGTATAGATTTTATTTTGACCCTCTGTCGGGTGATAGATGCGTACAGATGGAGAGTCCCTAAATAGGACGAAAACTCTGCTTAGTACCCTGGTTTTCAGTAGTTGCCTAACTGATATGAATCCGTGGTCAGAGTTGAAATGTTCAGTGCCACAATATTAAGCTAAAAAAGGAACAGTCAGATAACCTAATTTTGTCGCAAGTGTTAAAATCGATTGAAAAATAGCAAAATAAGAATACAAATAAGTCAGGTAATAGGGTAAAGTGTAAGAATTATATTGCCTAATTTAAGTAATTGACTCGCCATCATGCATAATTTTGTTTCCGTTGATATAGTATTCATAGTATATTGTGCATAAAGTAACAGGCTTACAACAACGAATAATTACTTCACTTCCACATTAAATCTCTTCAGTTAATTCAAGCTTTTGTTCATATAAGTAGATTTACTTTGACTTTATTGACAAGTCTGCTGTCCATATGATATTTAAAAGGATCACAGTAATAAATGAAATCAGGCTGCAAGTGCCGCATGTTTCCATAAATATTCTATCAAAGCACATTCAAATCACTGTTTACGGTAGCTTAACAAATTAGCTAAATTGTGAAAAAAACTGACTTCAACATATCCAGGCCTTCAGTCATTTTCAGTATCACGTTAGCTGGATATCAGTGACAGTAATCCCAATATATGTTAAGTGTATTGGACGTTAAAAATGTACCGCCTGATCTGTACCCATTTTGTTACCGTTTTTCCGAAGGATTGTTATGTAAACGGGACAGACGGTAAATTACAACTCCAGTATCCAAAAGGAGATGGAGCTCCTTCTAGTGGTTACCTTCTGTTTGTTGAAATGTTGAATACCCATCACTGTAGTAGAGGTGCAGGAGCATATGCTCATGCGTGTATATTGGATCCTGAAACAGACAGGTATGTGACAATTCGGTTTACTTTGTAATTACATAATTTTCAAGAGTATAAATATGTTTTCATGCATAGTTTTGCGTCAGAAATAATCCTTTATAGGATATAATATGGCTGATAATTGGTAATCCAGCTAAGAGAACAAAACCACATCAAAATCATCCACCTGAGCTACAGATCTTCTCTATCATATCTAATTGGTAATCCTATATACATACATTCATTATATCTGATTTCTTTCAAGCCAACTCTTTGCCTGTCCTTCCTCATTACCGATTTTATCATATAGTATCAAGTTAACCCTCTGACATCATCGAAGCGTCGGTACAAAGAACCAGCGTGCCAACACACTCTGAAAATGTATGTCCGGTTGATCAATGGAGAGATTAAAATTGACTCAAACATATGATAACCAATAGTCTTTGCAACAGAGACAGCACTCATAGCCCAAATTGTCTAGCGTAGACTTTTAAAATGACGGGAGATTAGTTCGAGTTTCAGTGGAAGTACCTTCAAGTACATATGGTTGACGAGTCCCAGATAGGGAGAAATGGGCGTCCTAGGTTCCATTACTAGCCATCATCCACTGAAAACGTCATTTTCATACAAGTTGGTTTCGAACTCATTTGTAATGGAAATGTCACGGTCACATAAACATTCTTGAGAAAGATTTCATCTGCTGTCTATAATTTACAATGAGATCGAAAACCGTTTGTAAGAATTTCGAGATATATGGAGATAGCAAAAAAAGTTATTATCCGCAGAATAACCTTTGGCAATCGACAGTTCTTGGTTATTCGAACTTGTGAGGTCTTCAGCTTAACCAAGTTCATTGATTCCGAAAAACCTAACCAAAGGTGAAATTATTATTAAGGATAAATTTTCATAATTTATAAAAGCCTTATATAAATACTAGTAAATGCTACCACACCAGCAAAGTGAAGCATTTTCTCACTAGTATAAATTTCTCTGTACGAATCAAAATTATTAGGAATTAGCAGGATGCATCCTCTTATCTAATGCTGAAAAATTATATTATGAAACACATAGGTTCACTGATGCTAGTCAACGCCTACTGAATAAATATAAATATGGAAGGCAATAGAAAAGTGTTCAATTCACTTTTAGCTGTTACAGCCGAGTTAAATTATTTCCAGTTATATACGTAAATAGGCATAATAATTTACAAAAACACACATAAACACAGAACTTTATTGAAGTAGATTTGAATTACTCTTAACGATTTCAACGGAATGTAGTCTTAGTATGTTTCAGTTGGCAATTCTTTCGAAGGAAAAATTTAAGCACTTCTATTCAGTCAGATTACTTTAATTTGGACACTGTGTTTAAACAGCATGGCAAACCATGGTAAAATGAAGGTACTCCATTTTCGTCAGAGCTAAACAATACAAGTAAAACAAATCGTTTGTCAATTAAATTGTAACGCTTAACGTCATCATTGAACAGAGCACTGAAAGGTAATCAAATCTCTATATCGACTCTGCAAAGTTTTTCGACAGTGTTGAACGCTAAACCATTCGGTAATTGTTCTAAGAATATGAATTGCCCTTAACATTTATCAACACTATTATAGAACTAAATGAGGATGTAACATGCCAAGTGGTTCACAACGGGACACTTGGGGAGATGTTTGAAGTAAAGACAGTAGTGACACACGGCTGATTACCATAAATGATGATATTTCTAGTTGTCATGGGCTGGGTCATACATCAGACCATGTTTAGGAAAGGTGAGGACAGCCACATATTGAACCGATAAGAAGACTCTGAAAGATCTGTATTTCATGGACGACCTATGTTTAATGTCAGAGAACCACGAGGATCTACAGGCGGCAACCGCCAAGTTAATGGAAGAGGTTGATAAAAAAGGCAGGACTTCAGGTGAACAAAGAGAAAATAGTGGTGCTGATGACAATCAACCATCAAGAGACGGCATCAGTCACTACAGGTAGGTTAATTTTGAAGGAAGTTATGAATTTCACTTATTTTGGAAGCATCGTTTCAATTACAGGTGTCATGTGTGAATATATCAAAGCCAAGTTCAGAAAGATAAGACAGGCACTGATTATTCTGAAATCACTGTGGGAATCTACTTCACTCGGTATAAAGAAAGTGATTCACAGTTTCAACACTAAGATCACGTCACTCACTTTACCCATTACAAGTTGGTCATGCATTGATTCGAGGATGGTATGGAGAAGACTGTATGTGGAGGAGGCGGGAACTTGAAGAGTGTTGTATAACAAACTAAAGACGACTTCAGAGGTGATAAAAAGAAGAACTCGCTGACGATCTGTTTTAAGCTAACATAATATTGAAAATAAAGTCTGTATTTCATCTATTCACTATTCCTATTTTTATTCCTATGTTTTGTGTTAACTGGAATGTGCATAAGACCAGTGATAGGTGTAATGAACATTTGTCCCGCTTTCATGAACTTATTTCAAACTGAACCAAGAAGATTAAAAAATTCAGCTACACATGAAATAGCACATGCACTAGTAAGTTCATTTTCAGTAGATTTACAAACTAAACTTTAATATTTTATTAACATATTTTCTCTTTTTTTAACTAAGGCATCATTACACAACTGACTAATTGTTTGTGCTGTTGATGTGTGTATCTCTGAGTGATGATAGTATGTGTGAGTGTGTGTGTATGTTTTGTGCAGTGGTGCAGTGTTGAAGTGATATTTGCAGGAGAATGCATTTGTCGGCGACCATACCACGTTGAAAGCACCGGTTCTCGTCCGATCACTGAAGTTAAGCAACGTTGGGCCCGGTTATTACTCGCATGGGTGACCGGCTGGGAATACCAGTCATACATTATTTGCAAAACTCACGCCCGACCATCCCTCTACACACTCGACGCATTCCTCCTACTACAGTCATCATCACGTACTCAGTCACTCACTGACGCATCCCAACACCAAACAAGACTCCATCACACACACAGACACTGAGTCAGACACACGCATCACTATGTCATTCACTCTAACCCGCTGAATGCTCGATCAAACTGATACCAGCCGGTGGGAAATACACATGGATGAAATGGTGAAAACATGGGTTAAATGGACAATTTTGATCGGTTGACACTGATTAATAATTAATAAAACTAACTAGCTTATGATTATAATGTACTTCAGGTGAACATTTCCTTCAATGTGATTTATCTTCTAATTAGATTGTTGGAGGCAATCGGTAGGAAAACTTTGACCAAGATTTCGTGCATGTTGGCTCTCCTCAACAATTACAGGACTAGACACATGTCACTAGTTATTGTTCAATCAAAAGTGTTGAATACAGTCCTAAGGAGATCAATCACGAGTCGAATACCTCAGTGGTAACGTCTCTGACTGCAGCACTGGAAAAATGAGTTCAACCTTCAGGAGAGATATGAGTTCCTCGAAGATTATAGATATACCTTGCTAATTGGTGATTGCCAAGAAGCACGAAACCCAAGTGAAGGAAGGCTTACTGCCAATTGTTTCCAACCATCTAATAACAAAACTCTGAGTGTACCATGATGGGGAGCCACCTAGTGGGATGGTGACTACAGTACAAACTTGACTCACAGAATTCTGTTTGCATTAAACAAAGGACTGGAAACATAACACTAGTTAATGTCAGATCAAAAATAACATCTCCTGATTTCACAGTTTAATCTAACGTATGAAAATGTGTGACTTTCAGTTTGAACAGTGTTCAAATTCTTGCACATGTGAAATCGCAAATCCACAGAAAAATCTGTCGAAGATTTTGTCAAACGTGAATAATGATGAATCGCAGTATTTGGAAATGTAATCATACTAGTAGGTAGATATCTAGCCGCATAAAATTAAGGGGGTTCAGTATGCGATCATATTTTATTGGGTTACAGTATAATTCATTAACCGTTCAATTACTTTGCTGGAAACAATCACCCTTGAAAACATCCTAATTTTTATTTAGTGAGGGTTTATGGTAATAATAACGTTTAAGATATTTTTTCCATCAGTCACTGCTATAATCTGTATTTGAGATTTCACTGATTGTAGTACTCTTATCCGAGAGAGTGACATTCAAGCAAGTGTAATCTGACGCTGGCATTCTAGTTGATTGAATGATATTTTGTTAATTAATTTTCAATACATGCTGCTGAAATAACATCTAGAAATCCATATGTCGTTAAGCGACAGTCGACAGTCTACTGCCACAATCTGTCTAACTGCCAAACGACAGTTAGATGAAGCATATTCTGTTGAAAAGTTTTCAAAAAAGAATCCTTCACGCGGATGAGGATATCAAAGCAAGATCGGATAAGTGAGGGAAGCAAGATAGGCATTCATCTTACTGAAATTAGTGTGGATATCTCAAACTGTCTGTCTGCTTTCGGCACAGAACTTTGCACCGATGTGCAGCAGTTCAAGTCGCCACACTCCATGTAGTACACAAAGCAAGAGACGAAATTAACACAAATACATAATAGAGACAGTAAACATGGATATGAAACAAAAGGAATAGTAATAACGAAAAACAATATAGTTTCACTGGAACTTATTAGTCACAAGAAATGGATGCATCTGCGCCACTGAGGACGATTTAGGTCCACATCACCAATTGTCTTCAACCTTCATTGGTTTTGCTATCCCGAGGATCCCAACCAGGAAGCATACATCTTCGTACGGTGCTTAAACCAACTGTTATGCATTTCATTGACTGATTTCATGCTTTGGTTTAACCACCACTAGCTCATTTCCAACCTGACCCATCCTATGTCAGCTAACATAGCCCTTCGAGGAGACGATCAATTGCTATGCATGTGTAGCACATGTCCTAACCATCTCAGTCGATGTAGCTTTACAGCTTCGTCGACTGATTTTCCCTCCTTACCTAGAACTCGATGCCTAACCTCAATATTGCTCACCCTATTATACCACCACGTGACACGGGAGATAGAACGCAGGCACCTGTGATCAAAGACAGCTAACTTTTTCATGTCTTCGGCTGTCATGGCCAGGTCTCACAGCCATAAAGGAGGATAGAGCGAACTGCTGAGCAGTTCACACGCCCTTTGATCGACAGCCAGGCGGATATCACGTCTACGCCAGAGACAGCGTAAATTGGCATACGCGAAACTAGCCCATTGCATCCGTGCTGAGATTCGTCAGTGATCGACCTGTTGGGGCTGGTGGAGTTCTTCAACGCCCAATATAAGGACCAAGATGTGAATGTTCAACACGAATGTCAACTTAGTGCTTCTATGAAGTTCAGATACTTAACGTACGTGTTATTATAACGCATTTCCAATGGACTACAGACTTTCATCAACAGGTGTTTTCAGTGGACATTGAAGATAAGATGGCCGACTAGAAAGAATAAACGATGAGGAACTCTGGTACCAAACCAGACAACAGCCTATTGTCTAAAAAGTACGCAGAAGAAAGTGGAGGCAACTTTAAACTGGGACTCTGATAAAATCTGAACCACAAGTTGGGCAATCAAGTTTGACGTGGGCAAGATAGTGTGAACAATAAGTCAAATCTTGCGGTCATGTATGAAGTCATTTAAAAATAGATGGAGAAGAACCTGTTGGAATGAAGAGGTACTATTAAAAGCTAATCTACCTTAAACTCAAATAATATCAGTGCTTACTGGTAAATATATGGAGATAAATGATATCAAGTAAGTGAGAAGATCTTTTTGATATGAAATGTCTGTTTATACCACAGCTGTTATTAGTTCAGCTTCTGAATGAAGCAGAAAATCTTACTGAAGACAACTGACACTAACAATGACGTATTTTTGTAGGATTATCTAAAAGGCGTGACAAAAACAACCTCTATTTCTTTTGGTTTATTCTATTTCAACTCTAGGGGTTCGCTAAAGATCATTTTCCTTATCTGCGTTTTGTAAATGGCACTCCCAGAACTGAAAGAGATATCTACAATAATCCAAAGAGGAGAGATGCATATAACAAATATATTCCGGAGTAAGTTATACAATTTTACGTCTGCCTTCAGCATTATGCAGAAGTTGATCCGTTTGTGATTGTATTTAAATTATTTACAAATATCAGCTTTTGTGGTCTTTTCTCGGACCGTTGGCGAAAACGGGAAACTTTCTGTTACACTTTCTTTCTGAAAATACCTTGAATTGCAATCTTTAATAATAACGCATTTCATGTCATTTATATTAGAGAAGTTCACTTGATCACTATAGATTTTTAGTCACTTTACGAAATTCACAATGAAATTAATCTAAATCTCTGCAAAATGCATAATCTAAATATCAATCTCCAACTAATAAGCGGATACTAGACAGAAGTTCAGAAATTAGCATAGACAGTCGTAGCTAGTGGGGCTCACTATGTCAGAGTAAAGTGGATGTTCATCAGTAACGCTGGTCGGTGGTTGCACTGTAACACAAATTCACAAAATTAGAATTAACAAGTCACCTAATTCTGGCCCAAATGGCTGAATGGTCGCCTGATACCTTGAAGGTCCCGCGTACTATCCATAGTGGAGTTGTGCGTATGTTTCACCGAAGATTTTCAAAATATGAAGAAACCACAGTTCTGTGCTCTCAGTTTTCGATGATTCTCTAACCGATGTTTGTTCTCCACAAAGTCCATACTGAAGAAGTAGACTGCAACTTATTGCTGTTGTTTACATTTACATTCGCAGCCGTTATTCAGAATTCGACTTCTTGAAATGTCTTTTTGTTCATGATGGTGTTCAAAAATGAAGGCCAAATGAAATGTTGTGTATGCATGTCGCACTGTGTGTGTCGTACGCTGTCTTGGAAATTATACACACCCATCCACATTAGGTGAAAAATCAACATTTTAGACCTTCATGATTTCATTGCCATGCCCCAGAATTATTCGTTTATTGATGTTACTATAGGGAAGTGAATATATCATAAATATGGCGTATTTCTTTAAACACTCATAAGAAATATCCCTGTAGTATATTAAAACTGAAAAAAACATGAGCGAACAATTATTTTCGATAAATTTTTATTGAGGCTATACATTTATAAATCCATTAAAGTTAGAATATAATAGTCAGTATATGAAAGTCAGAATTATTTCAGAAACTATGCTGGGCTACGAGGAGAAGACGGACTATAGTCAGATGGTTTTCATTATCAAATGAATTCTCACAAGCTAACTTCTAGTGGTATGATTTATTTCAATTTTGATAATGGATTAATATCAGACAAGACCAATGAAAACCATCCACAGAGTACTGCACTATGTTTCGTCCTAGTTTGGAACCTTTCAGCAGTACTCATTTAAATGTATATGAAATATACGGTCATTGAGTACATAACGTAATATATGAATAGACAATTAAGTGATATGTTTGTGTATTTGTGGTCGACAAACATATGCTTCATCAGATGAACTATATTGAATGTTGTGATGACAACATTAGTGCATCGGTGGCACAGTGGTTAGGACTCTCGCCGACCATTCACATGGTCCAAGGTTCGATCCCCTGCCGACTAACACCTGATATCTATGGTTGGCCTGCAAAATTTGGACTGCCGATAATACATGCTGAAAATTCCATACTTGTACCAAAAATACAGTGTAGAATCAAGCTGTAATAAAGAAAATAAACAAATACAGACAGAGAAATGAGGTACTTTCGGGGATGACAAACAGCAAAATTTAATGATAAAATAAAGCGGTAAAACAGTGAGCTGTAATCAAATAACACAGACAATATAAATTTAGTGGAAATCCGATAAGGTGAAAATTAGTAATCTGACTAATGTTGTAAGTAAATTAACTGAAAAAGAGTAAGATGAGCATAAGGAATCATAAAATCATGGGTTGATTATTTCTCTGTCCAGCTTGGTAATAAATTCATTGCAAAGAGTCTGTTTACTGAATGTTGTGTTCACGTTTATGTTGCCTTCCTAATGACTGCATATTTTATATGCATTTATATGACACTCAAAGCCAACAGATTGTCATTCCATCATAGACTTGTACCTCACCATAGTTTCTAATTTCGTATTGGTTTTATTAGCTATTGGATTTATAACAGTAGGACCTGAAGAATCTTTGAGAATATTGTTCACTTAAATTTTTATTGTTCTTGACATCAGCTTTATCTATTTTTGAATTTATGTTATTGAAAAAGATAGTCCTTTTGCTCGCCAGTCACACCTAACATGTTCCAGGGTTCGATCTCCGGCCGACGTACTCCTTTACCTCACTAAGGCGGTAATAAAACCGATAAAGAGGGAAGGCTAGGTATGAGGCTAACAACCTAATCCCGTAAAAACAAAACACCAGTACTACCGAGACTTCTAAGCTCTAACTTGAAGCCCTATGTTCCACTAGGAACGTAAAGAAGTAAAACAAAATAATAATAAATAGTTATTTTGATAAACTTTTAACCTACAACATTATGAAGACAAATATAGTGAGATGATATCACTTCGGAGTTTCTTTACTGTGGCTCTACAACTAGTATGGCTTATTACAATAAAATAAAACCTATGACAATTATTCAGTTACATAAAACAAAAGTACATACGAATAGCCAATCACATTTTAGTAGGTCAGGTTGTCCATGGTAAGCAAAGTTTGAAGTCTATTGCTTTCTCTACACCCAGTCTGGAACAGATGTGTTGTAATCCTCAAATGGCATCAATCAGTTGCAATAACCTTGAATTAAAGTTATGTGAAACGATTATCAAGCGGCCATTAGTACTGATTTTGTGACCACACATTAACAAATGCTTTGCAATGGATAATGCTGGATTTTTATTCACATTAGGTAAGTTAAAATTTTCTATGTGACTTAATAGCCTTTAAGGGACATGTACTTCCCTAAGGCATCGGATTATTCTATTGGTTTTGACCAACACACGTGTTTCACCACAACTGCTTGTGAACTCGAGATGCGATACTGCGTAGAATGTTCACCTGATAGGTAAACGATCCCTATGAAATGTCAGGTGTATAATTTAATCACCTTTAAATTTGTTAACTTGGTATCCGATGATTCAAAATGAGGCTTTTTCTACGTTCATGATTGATATTTTCTGTTCAAATAGGATTTCACTTCCAGTTTATCATACAAGTAATCGTATTAAATTTCTGACTCTTTCTACCTTTGATGATGTTGAGTACTGCGTAATTTGCAACTTTTATTTTTGCTTTTTAAGACTTTTCTGCGCAATTAGATCAAACATGTCACACACCCTCCTATTACTCAACAACAGATTGCTATTCATTTTCGGTATATATAAATATGACTGTACAGCCTCTGAAGATGATTTCATCGATAAAGAAAATTTTCCTCCCTAAATTATCTTATATTTTCTTCTTGACTCAATGGATATTTCCCGTAATCTGATGTCATTGTATAGTTTTCAAAATCAGATTTTTCTCTCACAGTCGTCTGTTTTCTTCATAAGATATCTGCTCATTTCGAAGCGACAGAACATGAATACTTTGAAACTGTAGTTATACAAGAATAATGCCAACCTTCATGTCAAGATAATTTTGTGCTTTACATAATATTTATTGTAAACCCCTTTATTCTTGTTAGTAATGAATTCATTATTTTAAATTTACATAGTGAAAATACTGTAAAATTAATCCCAAGAGTTTGGGAAAGTACACAAGGAGTATTTTATAAAAACTTTATGGCGCTTACAACTCCAAAAGTATTGGTAAGTCAAAGACGTATCGTTAAATCTTCCTGAACTTCAGTTAAATGGAAATCGTAGCTATAAACTTTTCTGAATACTCAGATTTCAGGTTGTAAAGGTCCCTATGTTTTGGATCGCATATTAATCCTTAAGAATTTTCGTAGAGTAGAGGTTTATTCATACTTTGAATGAATTAACAGATCTTGAGACGACGTCGTCTGGCATAGGATTCTATTGCTTTAAAATGTTTAGCCGGAAATTAGCTTTTAGGTGAAGGCTACTCAATATCGGAGCATATGCGGCTAAAGTGATTTGATTAAACCCAAGTCGTATTCATGTTATCATTACCTTTACACTTAAGACAGCAATCAAGAAGAGGAACAGGGAAAGAGTCGATGTTCCTGTTCGTCCTCCTTATATATAATAAATACCTTTGTGTATAGCTAACACGTTCATAACTCTCTGTGATTCACAACCTTTCTAGAATGATAAATCAAGGATTAGCACTGAATACTTGCTTCAGTATTATTCAGCCAGAAATGCAGGCCAGTAGAGATAAACAGATTCTATAACATTCTTCTTTGTTGTGTGAGTGTTTATTGGTTCAGTCTTTGGAAAACGTGCTAGCTCAAAAGAAGGTAGCCGGTTATCAATAACAGTCTAGCTCTTTATTCTTCTTCGAACTGGGGTGCATACCGTCAGCTCTGCTCCTTCCATAATCTAAACGATTCGCCTGAGACAAACGTGACCGCTGACGCGAGTTCCACTTTCAGTTTGATAATATCCAGACTCTGTTTTTCGTTGGTTGTCGCTCAAGCTATATGAACTGCCGTTAAAATCACCTGTACTAAATCTGTCTGAGGCGTAGAGATCGTTGGCATTGGTGAGCTTGACGACTGATCTGTTAGTGGAGGTTTTTCACTTTTCTGCTGCTTAGATGGGCAGAGATCATCAGTAGACTTCAAGCTTTTGGTATCTTGCTTTGGTCTAAAAGATGTTCCACGCCTCGCCATTTTCATGCAATAAATCACAGAGGCAAAACCATAATGCTTGAGACACTTTATCAGTGATAGTAATCACGGTACTACACAGACACCAGAGTTCAAACGAAGAAAAGAGCTAAGTTGCTATTGATCGCCAGCCACCCATTTTTGAACTAGTGGCTTCATTTTCAAGGTCAGGCCACCGCATGTGTCATAACTTGTTCATTGGTTCATTTAGGACAATTTTCTGATTTACGAGAATTTCTGTAAGGGATAAGTGTCGATGTAGCCACTCCAGACTTATTCTGAATCCAGTTAACTTTCCATTAGTATGCAAGTCCGGGCTAACTGACTAGCCATAAATCCAAGCACTCTTTCTTAAACATCTGCATGTTACACTTTAGAAGGAGTCAGGGTTCGCATCCTGATCAAATCACATTAGAAAATAATATCCCATAGGATCAATAAGAGGACTAGAAATGCCATATGCTCAGTGAATTAACACCAGGCACAGAACGGATAAAACTCTTGTTGGCGCAGAAGTGTGTGCTAATTAAGATAAATTATATGAAGTCATTCTCCATGATAGCCACACATAATCTACTGTCTCTATTATCAATGGATCCTATAGATGAAGGAGCCACTCATTTTATACAAAGCACATTAAATTCACCTAGAGTGGACTGCATTAAATGATCCCATAAGAAGTGATTAAACTTCCTTTGGGATTCAGATAAAACACTCCAATGAGGAGAATACATCTTCTGAAATTAGTTTAATTACCGAATATTTACTAAATTCGATTATTATGTGCCGAATGAAGGTGCAGATATTTGTTCAATTAGGCTTGTAATCCTGAAAATGCAGCAATAGTTAGTAGTTGAAGGAGGGAGAAAATGTGATATGCGCAAGATTATGATGAAGATAAATTTGGGTAAAAAGTACATCTAACACTCGGAAATGGATTTAAAAATAAGATGTTATAATCTGTTACCTGGGTTTACTTTGTGTGGTTCTATAAGCAGAAGCATGCCTTCAGACCGATAAGAAATATCACGCTGCAAGCAGATGTGCACTTTTATCATTATCGTGGCCTCATTTATATGTCTGACTTACAAAGAGTTTATCACAAAGTAAAACTTCGAGAAAGTACCCTGTATATAATTCGACTCATCTGACAACCTAATAAAAAAGTTTAGAAGGAAAGAAAGTTGCCTACGGATTGGAAAAAAGGATACCTTGTTAAGCTACCAAAGAAGGCTGACTTAGTCCTCTGAAAGAAGTGGCGTAGAATAATGCTCTTGTCAACGAAATCTACAATTATAGTAGCGTCATTATTGAGAAGATAAAACATGCACTGCATGCAGAACTCCGCCCATCGGAACAAGCTGGATTCAGTGAACGCAACTCCACGTAACATCGTCGAACAAAGAGAGGAGTGGAAGTCAAATGTCTGCCTCAAACTCGTTGGACTTGAAAAGGCCTCTAAAAGCGTTACTTTTGAAGTGATTCCGAAGCTATTTAAACACAAAAAGCGTCAAGTGTTTATCAACTTCCAAATCAACTGTTTGACAATGACACACATCAAGTGGTAATGAAAATAACCAACCAACCAACCAACCAAACAAGCACAAATCACTGTCAGCAGTAGAAACTTGAGAGAGACTGCTTCCATAAATTATTTAGGGAGCATTGTTTCAACTACAGACGAAATTAATGAAGATTTCAAAGCCAGCTAGGAACAGGAAGGCAAGCTACTCCTTCATCAACCTGAAACCAAATTTGAAAATCTTAAGCACTGACTCAGCACAAAGGTCGTGATTCTAATTTTTAACATAAATGTCAATTCAGTCAGTCAGTGCTTCTATATGGATCAGAAACTTGAAATGTGAGTCACGAAAAGCAATTCCAACAGGATGGAGACCTTCTCTACAGCAGCTTCCACTCTATATTGATGATCGAATGACCAGAAAGAATTAGCAACAAGAAACTATGTAAAAAAACTGTCTAAGAACCTACCGTAGAACAAATGTGTAGGAGAAAATTGAGATAGATTGTGCATACGTTAAGGCAACCATCGGATGAAATTGACCGCCAGGCCACTTATCTAGTGGACTCCCAATGATTGCGTCGTTGGAGATCGTGTCGCGAGTAGAAGATGAGAGATTATATGCAGTCGTGGACTCAGCTGAAGAGGAAAACAGGGAATAGAAGTAGAGATAAGTTTTTGAAGCTCTGCTTTGCACTGTGAACTCAAGGGAATAATAATAATAACATAATTTGACTCAGCATAGTATTTTGAATATGAATTCTGTTTTACCGAAACGTCTCGAATCGAATGGTTATTACTGTCATAAGAGAGAGATGGTGAGAGCTGTCTGTTAGCCGAAATTGGTAGACAGCAATTTACGTCAATGTGTACTTCCCGAATCTTGCTGATGAGAAAAAGAAACAAGAACAAAAACTTTGTGTGGGTGGACACGATTAGGAAAAGAAACGCCAACGAAGAGATGATAGAATAACTTCTAGTGAGAAAACGACCAATCAGAAGACGCTGTTTCTCTGCTAGTAATAACGAATTATAATGTACATAAATATCTGTTGATTTCCTCAGTAAACGATCTGTTGCAAGGCACTTGTCTTCTGTCGTTACAAAAGAAATTTGCATTCTTCACAGCGTTTTATCATGATTCTAATGGATTATTTTCTAATATCAAAAAGAAACTAGAAGTCATTTGTATTTATTGTTACAAATGTACTTATAAATAATCACGATGCCTCTATTCATTCATTCGTTTGACGAATGGGAACTTCATTTGTCCAATGTTTAATTTCTTTATTTTACATTTAGGAGGAAGCAAGAAAACACTTCAATTGTTCAACACTTGATGGAGTTGATTTGGAGAATGAAGGAAGTCCAGGTTCAACCGGTGGTCACTTTGATGGAAGAGCTTATGGAGTATGTTATTTTTTTAGCGTTAAATTTTCAGATTATTCAGACATATATATGTTCCAGAATTTTATCTATTGCAACTACACACATGCTTTGTCAGTCAGGATTTCAGCAGTAGAACACCCCCTATTACGCTCGTGGTCTGGGATTCGATTCCCGACTGAAGCACTCCTAAACCTCGTTAAGCCGGTAGTAGATCCAGGAAATAAGAAAGGTGGGGTGTGCAGCTAGCAACCTCAACTTGTAAGAATTAACATCATTGCTACTGAAATTTCAAAGCTCTAGCTTGAAGCCAAATGTTCCAGTGGGAACGTAGAGAAACAAAAAAAGCAATAAAACAACTCAAATGTTTTATCTGAAGCACTAAACCACAGACACAACTCACTATCATACTACTTTTTTTTATTCCTTCACGTTCTCAGTGGAATATAGGGCTTCAAAATAGAGACTTGAAGTTTCTGTAGCAGTGTTTATTTTTTTCAGGATGAGGTTGCTAGCCTCATGCCCAACCTTTCCTCCTTACCAGATTTTATTACTGGCTTAGCGAGGTAAACCATTGCGTCGGCCGGGGGTCGAACTCCGGACCGTGTGCGTGGTCGGCGTGCGTCCTAACCGCTGTACCACCGATGCACTGCTATGATGTCATGATATCATTGAAAACTTTCAAAGTTATTTACTGGATTTCATATAAGTGCCGACTTTTTGATATCAAATGACATTTGAAAAGATTGATTGATTGGTTAAAGCAGCACTAAAAGCAAAGATGATTAGTGCTAAATTATATCCCTTAATGCTTGAGATCTAAAGAAGCTGAAGATATGACGCACGGTAACTAAACTCTTGTAAGAGATACCTTAAAAAATACATTACAGAAGTGTCTATAATAAGTCGAAGTAACATTTACAATTTTAGCGCTTAACTTTATTCTCATTTGGTTCTGAGAAATATTTCAGGACACCGTAATATGACCTCATATATATATAACCATGAAGACAGTCTTCTCAAATGAAACTATCTGAAAGGATTTAGGACTCGAAACAAGGAATGTGTTACTTAATACTAACTAGGTAGTATATACAACTTTAGAAAAAAGTACTAAGACAAAATCAAGATAAAATTATATCTTTTTTCATCAATTTTGTAAAGAAAACTTGTGTGAATTATTTTTTCCTAATTTTTCAGAATGAACTTATGACAGGTCGAACAATGGCAAATTCTTTGACTTCAAAGATTACACTGGCCTTTTTCCAAGACTCAGGGTAAGTTGTTCTGGAAATAAAGATGTTATTTGTTTTAAGTGCCGTTTTAAAGTGCCTTCCCTTTTGCAAGATTTAAAGAGATGGAATCTTCCAAAGCTTTTAAACTATAAAATATGCCAAATAACCTGTACCCTTGGTCATGTTTAAAATGTTTAAAATCATTCACTGTATACACCTACTATATCACATTTAAGATATGTAAATGCTTATAGTAAGCTGTTCAATAGTAAAAGATGCGATACAGATCAAATTTATACCTGAAGGTTTTCTCTAGTGGTCGTTACTTGCTACTGCAGGACATTGTGCAAAAACTAACAGACTGTAAGGACTGGATACATTAATAGCTTTATTGTGTAATCAACACTGTTTTTCTTTCAGAGAAATCCGTTTCATTTCCACTAAATGAAGTATACCTGTCAGAAATTTGACTGAATGGTCTCTTTGGATAATCACATCCGAGTCAGCAGTTATGAGAAGACAGTTGAAAACACATTCTTAATGATAATGGACATAAGAGTAATACTGACTTCTGGAAATATATTTCCATTACAAAATCAGAAATGTCTTTTACATTCCAATTTCCTGTTGGATAATTCTGTTAAGTATGCCGATGATCTGACCGTTTCTATACCTGTTACATCCTAGTAAGACTGTTTCAAAATGAATAACTTCTTATCAGAAATTAGTCAGTGGTCCTCGTCAGATGATCTTAAGGTTAATCCCTCCAAATATCAGGTGGTTAGTTTCACCTTCAGATGCATGTGCGACTCGCGTGAACTCGTTAGTTCACACGTCATAGATGCCACAGAAGTTGAAACTAAATTGAATGTTAAATACCTTGGACTTTGTATTTTCTCTGATCTTTCCTGGTCTTGCCAGAAAGATATTTCGTTTGACGTTCTATGTAAGCAAGTTAAGACGATCTGGTATCATTCTGTCTCTACTGTTACAGTTTGTTAATTGTTGTATTCTGCCTTCTTTACTTCTCCTCAGGGCTACTCAAGAAAGATACTACTACACTACTATGGGCACTAAACGCTGTCAATAAGGCGAGTGGGATGTTTCTAAACCAACTCCTTAATACTGTTCTAGATAGATACATGGACTTCTGGAATAAAATAGTAAACACCGTCTTGTTAGACTATGCATATCCTCTCTATTCACATATCTCTTCTGGCGTCTCATAGGGTAGGGGAACTAGAAGCAGCTATAGAAGAATGTACGTGCGAACAACTAAGTACAAACATCGACAATACCTTATTTAGCATACATTTTATGTAATAGAAAAGATTTGTAACTCAGGTGGATGATTTGAAATTGATAGTGTTCTCTGAGCTCAGAGAACACTATCAATTCCAAATACATTTTATGTGTTAGGAAAATTTTAAGGCAGGAAGTTATCAACTTACTGAATAACTCTTAGTAAACAGAGTTGCTTTTTTTTTCTTATTGTTACATTGTTGCTAATATTTTCACTTGATTTAATTCTTTATTAATTTAGATTATTATTAATTTAAATGCAGGTTTTAATAATTACCTATATTTGTACTAAAATTATTGTTTGGAATAAAGCAGTCATTAATAATAATGATACTTAGTAAAATTAATTCATCTTCGGGAGTGTAAAACCTTTCTGTTGTTAGATTTCACTTAACTTGATAATTCACAAATATTACCAAAAATACTTTACAGTTATGGATGGTTGGGAGCAATCGGTAGGAAGCCCTACTTGACCTAGGTTTCTTGCTTGTTGGCAATCACCAGTCAGTAAGGCATATCTATGTTCTTGAAGGAATTGATATCCCTTCTGAGATTCGAACCAGTGCTGTAGTTGCACAGGCTACCAATGACCTACTTCGGCTTGCGACTGACCTCCTATATGACTATGGAACGGTAACACTGGGTGACACGGATTCGAATTTCAGAAAAGGGACATGTGTTCCTTCAAGATTACAAATACACCTTGCTGACTGTTGAATGCCAACAAGGCGGAAATTTAGGTCAAGTATGGCTCTCTACCGTTTGCCTTCAACCATCTTGTATTAAATATTCACAGTGCACCGTTATGGCGAACCACCTAGTGGCATGGTAGCCACATTGCAAACTTGACTGATCGAATTCAGTTAGCATCAAAAATAGGACTAGACACATTACACTAGTTACTAACTAGTGTCCAATCAAAATAATTAGCAGTTTTATATTCCCTCTTTTGAAATGAACTCCTATCAGTTTTGAATAGGTCAAACTCTTTTGGTACAAAAAAAAATTTTTATTTAATCTGCTTCACATCAGCTACGAATAACCTAAATTTTTCAAAGTATATATACATATATGAGGATTTGTAACGTACATCAGAGAATATCATCGTTGTAACTTGAAATTTTATTCTCTTGAATTTAATAATGGGAACCTTAAAGCAAAGTGATTTCTAAAAGGAATAGTGACTCTTGTAAGAAGTAATTCATTAGGTAATATATGGTGCATTAAATAAACTACATCAAACACCAACACTTGAATACCAATAAGATGCTCACTGGCGACTGGCCCTATTCAGGTAGGTAGTTACCTGGGTTCCAGTGGGAAGTCGTGACCAGTAGGGTGCAGCTGGTCGGGTGTGAGGACAAATACTCGCCGAAGACATTGGCTAGCGGTCGCGCTATGTCGTGAATTGGCAGAAGTTAGAATTCAAGGACTATTGGATCGGGTCCCAGTGGCTTAATGGTATACGAGCTCGCCTTGTAACCGGAATGTCCTAGGTTCGAATCCCGGTGGGTGCGTACTGCTGAAGATTCCCAAACTAGGACGGGAACCAGCTGTCCAGTACTCCCAGGTTTTCCAATGGTTCTCTAACTACTGTCAGCTCATGATGAAATCCTGAAAGAAATCAAATCCGTACAAACCAACACTTGAAACTATATCTAAGTTACTCATGCAGATATAAATTCTAAGTTATACCAATCTTCCATACCTATTCACTGACTTCTCTTTTTTTTGTTGTAACACTTCAAGTTGGTACAAAGTGAAATTTTCCAAAGCCCAAAAGTGGACTTATGGCAAAGGTTTAGGATGTAAATTTGTTATGGCTAGTTGTTATGACTATATGAAAGAAGTAAAGCAAAGGTAAGTCACAAAAGTTATATATTTAATTAATCTTTTTGGTAAATATTATATATTTGTGATGCATCAATTACAACTTTTTTGTTGCAAACCTAACTGACTCTGTTTTATTCTCTAAGGAGGCATGTATAACAAATGTTAAAAGAAATCCTTACCCAAATAAACTGGTCATAAAATCATCGGTGTTTTGAATCTGCTTAACATCAAGATCTCTCTTCCTCTTTCTTCCTTTCTCAATAAACAGAATCTGGATGTACTCATCTTAGTATTCCTGTCGTGCTTAAGATGACTGACGCTACTGAGTTTGTGAACGTACCTTGAAAAGAATTTTCAGTGTATCAGTAGCCAAAAAGATACACATAAAACACTGGAAACTGCCTTTTCTACTGGTAGAATTTTCTCATAATTTAACCGCTGATGGCCGATGTTTTTACAGCTGACTAATGGATAACATTTCATGAATCTGAAAAGCACAGCATAGAACTACAACTCTTTCTGTAATGAGGATCTTTATAATGGATGTTTTCTCAAATTCACAGAAAAAGTAGCCATATTTCTGATATAAATCCATCATATGAAGTTAAGGCTTAAATCTAAGGGGTCAGAAAAGTTAAAATTAAACTGACCAACTACTGGATAAATTAAAGTATGTCATAGCTGTAAATTCAGGTTACGAAATGTGTATCCTGGAATCCTTTTCTTGTCACTCTTCACCAAATAACGTAAGTGGAACTTTATAGAATGGGACCTAATTCAGAATATGGTCTGGTCTTAGTACAATCAAAAGGAGAAATATGCAAGAGGTCATCACCTCCGACTAGCCAGGCAGCATCGTTTTAACTACAGATGACAGGACTGATGACGATGCAAAACCATGGATCGAACAGGTATTCATTAATCTTATTACAATGTGGAAATCTACTGCACTGATGACAAGGAACAAAATTCTGATTATGAACATTAGTGTGAAGTTGGTTTTTCTACATCATTCAGAAACAAGGAGCATGAGTCACGAAAAGCATTTCGAAAGTTTTGCAGATTTTTACCGGAAACTGCTTTGAATGACCGCATAATGATCATTTGATGGGCCCAAGGGATCAACAACAGGCAACTCCCGGAACGAACTGACCATCCAACAAAAATTTACCAAAAAAATAGACACGAAACGAGCATAAGCTGAGGGGAACATTGAATGATGTCAAGTGCCAGATAGTTCCTCGGGTCTGACGCATGTGGGAAAACGTGGATTTGGTGTCCGTGGTTGACATGGAAACTATTTGTGTAGGAGACGTTAGCTGATAGGGTTTGTTGTAGCACCAACCAAAGACAACTACAGATAAGAGAATAAAACAAAGATATGATGCTGAGGCCCGGAACCCAGGAGATTAATTATAATATTGGCACAGAAAAGATGAATAAAGCCATCTATTTATTTTTAGAGAATTTCATCATGAGCTGACATTAGTTAGAGAACCATTGGAAAATCTGGAAGTACTGGACAGCTATTTCGTCCTAGTTTGGACAGAAGTTAGGATTCAAGGACTATTGGATCGGGTCCCAGTGGCTTAATGGTATACGAGCTCGCCTTGTAACCAGTAGGTCCTGCGCTGGAACCCCAGTGGGTGCGTACTGCTAAAGAGTCCCAAACTAGGACGAAACAGCTTTCCAGTACTCCCTGTCGGTTTTCCAATGGTTCCCTAACCAATGTCAGCTCATGATGAAATCCTGTAACCAATCAAATCCCCACAAACCAACACTTGAATATTTATTTTTAATTAGATTTATCTGATTTCATTCCATTTGGCTTCTGAGATTATTTCTCTTTTTGTTGAATGCAGTTTACTTTTCGTTTATAGTATAGAACACTATCTGAACCAACTTCTTGTCTTGTTACATAGTATCTTATTTGTCTATCAGCCTTATTACTTTCACATCCTTTTCTGGGGATTTATAGAGAATTCTTAAACGATAGAATCACTCAATGTTTCACTATAGTTGTATTTACAGATGTCTTGTAGTGACTGACAGGACTGATTACTTCATCATCATTGATGCTAACTGTTTATATTCTCTACAAGAATACAATTTTTAAAACTCTCATCAATGAAGGCTTTTACAGGCAAATAATGAGTCCGTTGAAAAAAGACTATTATCTGAATTTATCCTCTGCAGAATAACTATAATATGAAGTAGAATGAAAACCCTTTTATATCTTTCTTGATTAGCTGCATATATAATTTGAAGTTTTAAAAAGAATTTTAATGCATTTCAGGATTTAGTCTGAGTGACTATTGAAATTAGTACTCACTATTTATCAGTGTTATTATTAAGGGCAAATTGCGTGGACTGGTTTGGTTTTTTTTTAATACAGATCGAAAAGCATTAATCCATACTGTGACACAATTGGAGTTTCTGGATGCTTTGATAGAACTTCTTATGGAAACTGTGATCTTACTGTACTTCCTTATCCACTAAATCAAAGTGAACAGTATTTTGAAGGCCAATATTATTATGGTGGAGCTGATAAATTCAGAGATAAGTGTCCAACTTATTCTGTAAGAGATTCGTTAAAATAAAAATTTTATTGAATTCAACATTCATCTGAATAAAATTGTTGCTTAACATGCAGTGAACACAAAAAAAAACAAGTCAAGTCTGCGGAATTACACGCTTAGATCACGTTACTCCAATACACAGGTGAACAGTGAAAGCTAAATTATATTGAAAATCGGTTATAATTTAGAAGATAATTTGGTAACAATCTAACTTCAGCTAAATAGTTGTTGGGACTCAGTGTTCCCTTAGCATCCATTTCGTCATTGGTTGGGAATCATCAGAAATGCGAACTGGTGTACCTCAAAAAGATCTAAGCTTTATGATTTTAATGACTAAATATTACACTGCTTTCAGGTTGAAGATGAATGTTTTGTATTCTTTAAAGCAAGTTATGATTTGTTGGGTAAATCAACTTGAAGGCTGTAAAATCATACAGTGATTTCCTGCATAAAAACTGTGAGCTCTAAAATTCATAGGTCAGTGGTTTTAACCCTATGTTTAGACAGTTAGCTGCATATCTTAATACTTGTTAATCCTGAAGTTACCTTCCTGTGGTGTGGTCGGTAATCTCTGGTGAAGAAATACTTTGGTTTTCAATTGATTAAAAATGCCCATTAAAATTTACTCAGCTATAAGCTCAAAAAAGGTAACTGCAGATGAATTAGGGATTAAATATGAAACATTGGTTGAAAAAAGCCATCCAGATAGATTCATCAGGAAACATATGACCATGAAATTTGAAAAGGACTATTCACTAACCGGGAACAGGAAGTATTTTTGCATACTACCGCAATTCAAGGGTAGTATGCCTAGCGAAATAATTGTGAAGAAGTCAAGACAATCACTTTAAAGGAATTTTTAATGCTGGCAAACTACAAGTTTTATTTTCCACGCCACCGGTGGGGATTCCTCCTTTGAAAGATGAGGTACCTAGACTATCTGCTTCTATTTGTATCTACCAGTTCAAATGCGCTAGTTGAGCGAGTTATATTGGCTGTTGCACTAGGAATTAGATTTTTTGTGTTTGGGAACATCTACCAGTGTGGCAAAGTAAAGGTAAAATAGAAACCGTCAACATTTTGATATCAGACCACCTGGTCCAAGCCCGCCACAAAGCCAGCATTGAAGAGTCCTTCTCTATCATCTACAGAGTACCGAAGAAATTGACAAAAGCATAATAGCACACTCCAAATAGTAGATTTAATTGCGATTCGCCGAAAGAAACTGGCGCTGTGTGGACAGAAGAAGCAAATCGAGACATTACTACTACCATTGCCTTCAGTGGAGACTATAAATCCATGAATTTGTTTCATTATATTTCGTAATTTTCATGGTATTAAGTGTATTGTTGCTTTGGTGTTATGGAGATGTAATCAGTTGATGTTATTATTGATTCAGTGTTATTTAAACACAAATAGTGAAATAATGGAGAAGATTTGTAGCTCAGGTAGATGACACTGAATTAGTTGTGTCGTCTAAGCCGGTTGATTTAATCGCAAGAAAGTTGTGTAAGTGCCTTGATAGGATTATGAGTGGTAATAATCTGTGCTCGAAACTCTATCAGTGCATTCTACAGTATAAACTGTCTGATTTATCTAAATAAAATATTATGCATAAAGGATTTATACTCTACCACAGTGTCCATGTTTCATACTTATATCAAACTCATATTCAGCCTTATAAATACCTAAACAGTAGGCATTTACAATTTTTCCTGAAGAACGTAGAGGCTTCATTCAAATGAAACTCTCTTTTCTGTACTGATAATTCAAAACAAACTATTTCGCCAGAAGAAAACTAATTTTGATAGGATGGATTTTTATACATTCTGGCCTTAACAGATCATGGTATAAACAATGGCAGACATCTACCACTCACATTCAGAAGGTAACTTAACACAACATGTGACTGGGGTATTTTGTTCATTTAAAATGAATATACATCGGTAGCACAGCAGTTAGGACTCTCCCCGACCATGCACATGGCCCGGGATTCGATCCCCTGCCAGAGCACACCTGATATCTATGGTCAGCGTGCTGAGAATTCCATACTTGCACCAATAATACGGTGTGAAATCAAGCTATAATAAAAGATATGTAGTGATTATGGTCTGCTTATGAGAAGAAAACATTTTTGTGAATCCCCATTACTATTAAGGAGTAAAGTTTATATTTAATATACTTCTCTCAAGAGTGAAGATTTCATTTCAATATAAATATAAGTAAACATTCGTAATAATTTGTTTTAACTGTCTTTACATAAAATGATGTATCAGGTTTCCCAAGTCGGATATATCTCACCACATTGTACGCATGAAGAAAATGAAAACTTGCTAGGTAACCTAGAATCTCTCATTTCATATATATATATATATATATATATATGTATAGTTGTTATTTAAATTTCAAGTTACTTTGTCTCTAGTTTTTCCCAATCAGTCAATAAAAGCAAATCTCTAAGAAACATAGACTTGAAATGCATAACCCTTGTTTTCATAGTGACTGCTTCTCGTAATGAACAGCACCAGACACAGAATACACAAAACAGTCAACGTGTTGGTTATGTGTATATGTATCGCGAATTAGCAGAACCTAGAATTCATTGACTGTAAGTCGGTGGCACAGCGGTTAGGACGCTCGCCTCCCATACACGCGGTCCTGGCCTCGATCCCCAGCCACCGACGCACTCCCAAACCTCACTAAGTCAGTAAAAAGACTAGCGAGAAAGGAAAGTTGCGCATCAGGCTAGCGATCACATCCTGTAAAAATAATCGCTGCCAAAGAAACTCGAAGCCTCCAGCTTCTAGCCTTGTGTTCTACTAGAAACGTGAAGGAATTAATGAAAACTAATAATAGAATTCATGGTTCGTTGGATTCAATCCCAGTAGATGAATAGTCACTGGTCTCATCCAGAAACTTGAAAGCCCTGGACTCAGTTTTACGGTAGGGTTATTTGGGCGTACTGCTGAACAGTCCCAACAGCTATCCAACACTTCACAGTTCTCTGTCGTCTTCTAACTGCTGCAATTTCATAACTCTAACTGAAATCAATCAAATCCCTGTACCAAACACTTTCCTCAGTATCTCACTCTACCTGCCGTCCAGAATTCCAGTGGTGCGAAAGGATTTTGTTGTCTAGGCTGAGTCAAATTAGGAAAAGCGCAGTTGAGCTCGGATACACACAAAGGAAACTGTCGTCCGATGTCTACATTACCTGGGTCTGTTTGACTGGCGCTACTGGTTGATGGGAGTGGTATGCAACTAGTGATATTTAACCAATCACCAGTATGTGAAATCATCTGAAAATAATACGGTTATCGGAATTCGGCAGCTTCCGTAATCCAAATGTTATCCCAATACTTGATTACATTCTTCAATTAAATTTCCAGAAGTAATTATCAAAATTATCAAGCTATCTATTAGATCATGATTTCGAAGTTTACATTTTTTCTATATTTATTCCTCTTATACCCTTTTTTTACATTACTTCTAAGCACATCAGGGAAATTATTTTATGCAAAAGTATGGTAAAGAGTCGATTTGTATTGATCACAAAAATGAGTGGAAAGTTGATTATAGCGGCAGTTTGTATATGAATGATCAGAATATGAAAGCAACCTGTCATAAGGTAGGTTATATTGAACACATTTCATTGATGTTTTCACAGTGTTAATTGGTAATCAATGTATTCTTGAGTTGTTTTTTTTTCATTATGAAGACTTTAGCATTCGATCTGTGTAACTCGTGTACAATTGGCATTTTAAAATAAGTGAAATTTAGTACACAGGCCGTTGTAGACTAATCTATAGTATATAAATACAATGAAAGCACAGAAGGTATTAGGACGTGGGGAAACTTTCACTATTACCTTTAATTATAATTAAATTCGCATCCATAAGCTCCCGGGAAATGAGTTTCAATTAAGCCTATTAAACAAAATGTAATTAATTGAATGCGTCCGTGTCGTGGTGGCACGCGTTCGATCCCCGACCGACACACTGAAAAAGCTCGTTTAGCTGGTAGCCACCCCTGTAAATAGAGTAGGTTGGGTGTGAGGTTAGCAGCTTCAATGCGTAAAAAATGATACTGTTACTGAAGCTCCAAAGCTCCTGCTTGTAGTCGTTCATTGCACTCGAAACACAGTGGGGTGTAAAAAATAGTTAGATAAGCACAAAAACTCCCAGTTGGATTATTAATGGTCGAAGTCATGACAGCATTCAGTGGCTGATATAACTGTTGGTAGATTTGTGTGTCACAAGAAATGTGACCGTTAACTTTCATTTCTTTTCAATCATACTTTCAATAACAAAACGCCTTTATTGAAAATATTTTGTCAACGGGAGAAAGAATATAGGAAGCAGTTTCGAAGAATTGTTAATGAATTAAAGATGCTGATTAGAAGCTTAAAAATACTGATAAGTGAACAAAGAAATTCATATCAGATAGTTGTAAGCCATCGGTGAGAAGCATTTTATGTAAGTTTCATGCCTGTTAGCACATGTCAGCAAGGCGTATCTGCATTCTTGAAGAAACTCATGTCTCCTTCCAGGCACTCAGCATGCTAGTAGAATTTGATCTTCATCAAACAAAGGCGAAGATGCATGTCACGTTTTGCTACCTAGTGTCAAATCAAAGTTAAGAATAATCTTTTCATTTTTACTAGTTGACCATGGACTGATATCAGTTAAAGAACCACTGAAAACCAAGAAATAATGGACAGCTGTTTCACCCTAGGGCTTAGGAATCATCGGCAGTACGCATACATCACAGAGGGGTTCGAACCTTTCAGTTACAAGGCAGGCTTGTGACTTGCTACAGGATGGCGTTTGAGTTCTAGTAAGAAAACGTGACCAGTGGGTCCATCCATATGTCTCGTGTGGGAATGGATGTGTCACGTACGACAATGGTTGGGGTCGCGCTAAATCAAGAAGTGGTCGAAATTAGAATTCATGTCAGGCACTTGACTTCACTTTCAAGCATCGACGTGACTTACTTGAACTAGTTAGCTCGCATGATCCCTG